ATGTCAAAAAGGGACTAGCGACATCGAGTAGACTAATACTACCAAAAAAAAGGGGCGCCTCTTAAAACTGTCCAACCCCTAACTTCTAACTAACCCCTATTCGCCTTAGAGGGGGTCCACTCAGAATCAGTCTCGTCGATGCCAGTCTGTTCCTCTGAAGACTTGGGCTCAGCATTGATCTCAATCGGATTGTCCTTGCCTCCCGACTCCGTTGGAACTTCGATCAGCTAAATGGTTTTAAATAAAATCGTGAGAACACTTCTCAGCAAGCAACACCCTAAACCCTACCTAGGCTAACACGTATCTCTGGGCATGTTCGAGCACACAAATCACACAACAATCAAGCCAGAACAATAGCAGGCACAAATGTTTCACCTTGATACGCATGAAATTTAACATGCAAATTCAAGCATTATTACCAGTCACATAACAAACCATATTCATGCCCACAGTCGCATAACAAACACAACATCATACGATTCCCATTTCACTCTAGCACACACATCCAATTCATTTCTGACCAGCGTAAACACGCCTCAAGTCCACTTTCGATCCACGGTCCACGTACAAACGTCTCATATTCACAACACTCCTTAGCTCGCGTTACAGTACACGCCTCAGGCTATGTCTTTTGCCCGCATATCACGCCTCAGGCTCAACATCCTCCACCTACGGCACAACCCGCGTAAAGGAACACGCATCAGGTTAGCGGTCTTCCGGTAATACCGGGCATCGTCCCGCGTTACGGTACACGCCTCAGGACGGGTTCAATTCCCCTTGTTACAGTACACGCCTCAGGGATTATGTGATCAAGCGAGCACGTCAACAAACCACATTTTATTTGGACCCCGCGTTACAGTACACGCCTCAGGGTTTTTAGTGATCACGCGCACGTCGGGCACCCAATCACATATCAACCTCACACGATCAACTCGCACACGACACCCAAAGCATTCGAATCACCAACAAGCCACATTAACCCACAAATTCATCAATTCCACTTGCACAACCCGCGTAAAGGAACACGCATCAGGTTAGCGGTCTTCCGGTAATACCGGGCATCGTCCCGCGTTACAGTACACGCCTCAGGACGGGTTCAATTCCCCTTGTTACAGTACACGCCTCAGGGATTATGTGATCAAGCGAGCACGTCAACAAACCACATTTTATCTGGACCCTGCGTTACAGTACACGCCTCAGGGTTTTTAGTGATCACGCGCACGTCGGGCACCCAATCACATATCAACCTCACACGATCAACTCGCACACGACACCCAAAGCATTCAAATCACCAACAAGCCACATTAACCCACAAATTCATCAATTACACTTGCACAATCTCAATTTAACACAATTTTCATATTCTAGGCCAATTTTCACCAATCAAGGGCGTCGCACTCATGCCACAAATCCCGATTCACCACATATAGTAATTCAAACATAAGCATGTCACAATTCAAACACGATATGCACATTAACTCAGCCACCATAGAAAAATCACTAAAACGCCACATTTAAGCCCGTTTTTCATGCGATAATTCTCGATCATAACCCGTAATCATCCCAATCGCCAACTTAATCAATTCTAACCTCAATTCCACCTCTAAAATTATCACAAATCCATCCAAACAACTCAGCCAACCCAGTCCACCGATTTCTCCACGAATAATCCCTAAAACTCGCTAAAATGGCCCCAAACTAACCCGAAATTACCCATTGTTCTAGGCGAAGTTTAGGATATCACTTACCCGGAGTCCTAAGCTAGATTTAGCAACCAAGGGTGGCGGAACAAGGAAAAAACAGCAATGGCGTCGTCAACGAGGGGCGCCGACGGCCTCACGGCGACCACGTACGGACGGCGGCGGTGATGGGCATGCGGTGGCGGCCAAAGGCATGGCCGGCTGGCCACTTTCACGTGGGGGAGAGGGGGAGGGGGAATTCGACCAAGAGGAGAGGGAGAGAGAGGGAGGCGTGAGAAAATGAGGGGAGAGAGAGAGAAAAGAGATTAAAAAGGAGAGAAAAGGCTGGTGTAAGCCTACCCCCAGAAAATTACCATCTTGCCCTTCTCTCTACTTTCCATCCGACGGCCGCTATTCAATCTTATCCAAAAATCGACGGCCGAGATCAACTCTCACAAAAAATATCCAAGGGTAAAATTGGAATTTCACAAAAGTGCAGGGGCAAAATCGTCCAAAAATTTATATCTCTAAAGTTGGTATGAAATGACCAAAATGCCCTTCTCACATTATACTTGGCCTTCACATAATCCCAGGGGCAAAACGATCATTTTCCACTTCCTATCAAAATTTCAGTTTTCTGACGAATCCGGACAAATCCGAGGCTGACCACGTTAATAACGACGTCATCCAATTACTCTGTCATGACTTTCAAAATTTTCAACACCCAAACTCAGTCTCTAATTAATGGCCAAACTCAAATAAACGCGACTTGAGCTTATCTCAAACTAACGAGTGGCTTTCGGGGAAATTCGTACATTCGACCCGTGGTCGATACTAAATCGAGCCACGTTTAAGTTCACTTGAGCCATGGCGACCTCGATTATTATATAATTGCGAGGATCAATCACTAGTTCTAAAGAACGCGATCGTTTGGAATAGGTTTGAGATCGTTCGCAAATTTCGTATTTTGGCGAGGCGGAATCACCCGTGATCCAATTATACGACATTCGCAAATCGATCCATGACCATCCTTAGATCGGTCTATATTAGCCCAAAATATCACCTTGGCAATACTCATGGTCGAAAGTCAGTCCATGGTCAGGTGCTTTGGTCGCGCGAATCTAGATCCCTAATTAGCCTTTCCCCACTGGTTAGTGTCCCAAGAGTGATCAAGTCTGGGCGAGATTTACTACAAGTGCGTTATTCAAATTATGCATTTCATAAATACCAAGTGGGTCGAAATTTAGAATGTCACAGTAAATTTATCATAGGTGTACCGATTTGGATATTTTGATGGGAAAAAAAAAGCGTATCAGTTTAGGGTTTTTCGCAGTATTAACCATTTTCTTTTTGAGTTTCGGTGTTGTTTTTTAGTTTAACACTTTTTTTATGATCCACTCATGAGAAAAATAGAATAAAATTAATAAAAAAACGCCACATTGAGTTTTCATCCAACAAACGTCAACAAGTTAATGGAACGACTAACATGGAGAATGACAACGCGTTTTAAGATTTAAATAAATGAAAAAAAAGTTTTACGCTTAAAGTGTCGGATCGACACAAGTTTCGAAACTTCAATGAAAGGTGCGAGTGACTTTTACTCATATCCTAATAGAAAGGCTGGGAGAATTCCATGAAACCAACGGTTTGAAATTTTGTTTAGTGAATGAGAAGCCCGAATCATGTGGGCATGGTTCGTAAATCACGTGCAAGAAGAGAGTATAAATTTAATGGCACGTAAATTACAATTTTTTCACTATAAATATAATTGCTACAGTATCGACTTTATAAACGATACATATAAACTCCAATTAAACATGATAGATAAAAAATATTTTGATTGTTTAAAAAGCGATTATATATAACACGAAATTATGATACATTAAATACTAACAACTTTTTTCCTTACCTGCTTAATAATTTTAAGGGATACTTGTTAACAATTCAAAATCTTCAATATAAATTTTGAAAAGGAAGTCGCTTTACTAACTAGCTTGCTAATCTTGAAATCAATAAGAGTTTGAATACTAATTTCTTTTCATTGTCTCTTACAAAGTTACTTTCTATTTTATTAGGTAATAAAATACGGATAGTAAATTTACAATGTTAAATTTTTTGTATTTGATTTTAACTGCTTTTTCATTAAAAAAAGGTTAACACCATAAAAAATCCAAAACCAGTATACTTTTGATAAATTTACCCAAAACTAATTTTTTGATCACAAAAAATTCTAAACTGGTAAACCGGTAACAAATTTACCCTCCATATATTTTCGTTAAATTTTACCGTCAATTTGCCGAGTTAGATGACACGTGAAAGTTGACGGGTGTACCGGTCTAGGGTTTTACCCTTCGTTTATCACAAGTGTACCCGATTTAGGATTTTTTGTGGTATTAATCAAATCTAATGGAAACTAAAGCAGGGTAAATTGTCACATATGTATCAGTTTGGAATTTTTGGTGATCAAAAAATTAGTTTGGAGTAAATTTATTACATGTGTACCAGTTTGTGATTTTTAGTGGTACTAAGAAAAAAAAAACAAAATCTTCAGCAATTTTAGACCACTAGCTACCATAGTACTAGTAGTGCTCCCATGCTAGGGGTGAGCAAGATGGACCGCCCAAATCGGGACTGGACTGACCGGTTTGGTCCGGTTATCGGGAATATCAGTTCGGTTCCTGAATTCTAAAAGTGGAACCGGTTTTCGGGCGGTCCGATTCTCGGTTCTAGGGTGGGAACGGGTGGAAATCGGACCGGACCGATAAATATATATTTTTCTAGTTTTTTCATATATATATATGAAAAATATTTAATATTGATCCCATTGAAATCGATTGTTCAATTTTTTCATATATTATATATTTTTTCAATTTTTTTCATGGCCTTATAGGATCAAATCAGAACTACAAAAGGAAAGAATGGAATAATCGGTTCCCGGTTCACAAATAATATTTAATATTGGTCCCATTGGAACCAGACCGGATCGAACCGATGGTTCGGTCCGATTTTCGGTCCTAGAAACTGAAAACCGGTCATCCCAGTCCGATTCCCAGTTCTTGAGTTAGATCGGATCGGATCGAAAACCGCTTACCTTTACCCCATGCTATGCTAACTCCGTGTCCACGATATTAACATCTCACTATCTCGCGGCGATATTCTCACGCGAAACAGTTCTCGAGATATCAAACCAGAAGAGCAGTAAATTCAAAGAGAGCAGAGCAAAAAAAAAATAAAAAATAAAAAAATAAAAAGAAAGATAGAAAGAAAGAAAGAAATTGGAAAATAAGGAATTAAAAAAAGAAAAAGGAAAGAAGGAGGACAAGGATACAGCACCAACAGGCAAGGCAACAAAACCCAGCAAGAACTCAGTGCCGACTCCCATTCAACAACCCAAGAGAAGAGCAAGGCAGGCATCCTTAGATTCTGCTGTCTCTTGCCACTTCTTGTTCTTGTTCCTGTCTCTCTTCTTGCTGTTCTTGTTCTTGTTCTTCTCTGTGACATCACAGGGCATGAGATAAGACCTTCTCAAGACCTCAGCAGTCTCTTTTGACTTGCATCAAAGGGTAGGGGAAGACCAGAAAGGAAAGAAGAAAGAAGAGCCTACTTTCTACTCTGCATATTCCACTCCAAGGAGGAAGGGTGGAGAGGAGGAGGAGGGGGTAAGGATAGCATGGGGATTCCGTGCGACGACGTGGTGATCATAAGGCAGTCCGAGCGAGAAGAGGAGCCCAGCATGATCACCATTAACTGCCCCGACAAAACTGGGTTGGGCTGCGATTTGTGTCGCATCATTCTTTTCTTCGGCCTGAGCATCGTCCGAGGAGGTAACTTCGAACTTCAATCTGGGTCGGTTTCCGTTTGGAGCTCTGTCGTTTTGTTTTTTCTTGCTCTTCTTGTTCTTGGGTCGATTGATGAAGTTTTACTGAAGAGCGAAGTGGATAAAAGTGCGCAGAAACTTTATATGTTTTTATTGGAGCGCAAGCGAGAGGTGGAGGTTACAATATCATCTTTTTCCGTGTCATAGCAGACAAGTGGATGAGTTTTAGTTGAGACATATGTTTACGATCTGTTTTGAGGCAGATGTTAAGGTTGTGTCTTGCAGAAGTAAACAATATTTATGTGGAGTTTTTTCCCCCAATGAATCTTTTTGAAATGACCTTGTGATTGTTTGAATTGAGAATATGGTTTTTGATTCCTGACTCTGGGTCATTGTGTTCCATTCAATGGGAAATTGTTGCCGGATTTGGTTGCATCGTGTTAAGTTATCCTTATATTTTTTGGTCATGATTGTTCGAAATGCTGATGTCTGATTATTTGATGTTGCGATGAAGATGTGTCGACGGATGGAAAATGGTGCTATATACTGTTTTGGGTCATCGGCAAACCGAACACGAGGTGGAGTTTATTGAAAAAGAGACTAGTTGGGGCATGTCCCTCTTGTTCTTCAGCTTCCAGCATTTGGTTTTACCATTCTGAGCTGCAGCCATCGAAGCCTCCTGACGTCTTTCTTTTGAAGTTAGGTTGTTGTGATCGGAGAGGACTTCTGTATGGTAATTTTCATCACCACATAAACCTGGTTTCTTCATTACTTTTGGCATCAAATCAAATTGTCTCTTTCGATGTAGATTTGAGGAGTATAACGTAATATTTGTGGATTAGATAGTTTGGGACTTAGATGTTCATACTTCCTCTCTTTTATGAAATTGAATGATTATATTTTTCTTTACTTGGTGCCATTCTAGTGTTTGTCTGTTTAGTACAGGTTCTTAAAAATAACAGGGATAGATGATAATATCATGATACCTTTGACTTACTGCTACTCTGCTTTATTGCTATGGCCTTTTGACTTGCATCTTCCAAACATTTCTTCTATCATGATCACTGCACAAGAATCCTCTTCATGGCCTTCCTCGTTGTGTCAGTAACAATATTAGACTAAAATCGGGTGACCTCAGACACAGCGTGAAACAAACTTTCGGCTTGGAGTGACAATATTGTCAATCACTTTGAATAAATTGGGTGACCTCAGGCACCGTGCTACACAAACTTTGGGCTTGGAAAGGGACTTTCAGTTATGTGTTGAAAGAAACAAATCATTAGATGACTCTTCTTCTTGTTTTTTGGCTCATTTGTAGAGAGAGGAACAAAGGGCATTTCAAGGAGTTGAATCCTCTTGGGATTCTTTTAGGGGTAATTGGTTGTTCACTCTTCACTTTTGGTATAACAGGAAAGTTCAATTTCATACATCTAGTTTGTCGGTAAGGTAAAGTCTTTTGTGCATGATTTTGTAAATGCGTGGCTTCTACTTGAAATTGTTTTATGCAGGGCGGTACCCCTTTAATACCTTCTTAATGAAATCATATGTAGAAAAGAATCGTCAATCACTCCTTCTGCCCAATTTTTTTTAGTTGCGGGGGGGGGGTGGGGGGTTGGAATCCTCATCTTATAAAATATAGGAAAATATATCTTTTACATTGAATTTGAGGTTGTTCCTTATTTTTTGGCAGATGTGACGTGGGTGCTTTGTGAGCTTGAGCTTATAATCAAGAGAGTTAAGGTGTCCACGAAACCTGATGGAACAGTGATGGACCTCTTTTTCATCACTGACACCAGGTATGATATTTCCGTCTGCTTAAGTTCAACCTACAAATCCATTTTTAGGCATATTTTTGTTGTGCTGTTATGTCAATGCTGCATAGATTCAGCCTTGTCCATAATCTGCTCTATAATTTCTCAGCTCGATCTTCTCAAAGCAAGATTGATACGTGTTCCATGAAAGATTGCGCATAATACAATGAATCCTGAAATTACCATCAGACAAGAACAGCTTTAAATCCTTGGCTTGGCAGTTTCTCTACCGCCTTCACTTCTATACTAATAGGGTGGACAGACCATCGGCTAGTTAAGGAAGAAGACAAATTTATCTTCTTTAAGATAGTTGGTACTGGAGCTTTAGGAAGATAGCAGTTGGTTTGCATAAATAACCTTGAGGGGGAATAAGCAAACCCTTCTTAGACTTGACAATGTTATTTCTCATATTGACATTGCTATTCTCTTTTCTCCTGCCTAAATTGTTAAGTTTTCTCATGCCAGGGAACTTTTGCACACAAAGAAGAGGCAGGATGACGTAAGCGATCATTTGAAAACAGTGATAGGGGAGGCCATGATCAGTTGCGACATAGAAATGGTTGTTCCTGAAATAACAGAGTGTTCGCAGGCCGCTTCGTTTCTTCCTTCTGCAATCACGGAAGACTTTTTCCAGAAGGAAATGCCTACTAATCAGCCAAACGGGTTGTCGACCTCCAAGAGTGTTTCCGTCAAGATGGACAACATGCTAAGCCCTGCTCACACGCTTGTCCAAATAAGTTGCCAAGATCACAAAGGACTTCTCTATGACATAATGAGAACCCTGAAGGACTACAATATTCAGGTAGGAAGTTTTCAAACCATTTGATTACTTTCAAGAATGTCAGAATTCCAATCACCATGGGTATGCATTTAGCGCTCTGTCTCATCTGGTTCTTGTTTCTTCACTTTGGTGGGTTTTTTCTGAGGAAGTATCTTTTTATATGATCTGATGATCCACCCACTTATCCAGGTTCAACGTTAAATGTACTTTCAGGTTGAAGTTCTCTGGGTGGTCATCTTTATATATGCCTGTGTAGCGTCAAATATCTTTGACGACAGAATGAGGGAAAAATGAACTACAGAAGACAAAAATGCAAAAAAATAAAAAAAAAGAATGACAATAGTGTTGAGTTTATAAAGTGCCTGTTTAACCAGATGGTTTTAGAATTTCTTTCTTTGGTAGAGGTTCACATTCTTATGCATGCCTTGAAACTGGGAATTTTGACCTATCTTATCATAGCATAAATAATTTTATAGAATACAGTTTCATCTAATTTGTCCTTATTTACGAATATTGCTAAATGGTGATGTTATTAGATTTCTTATGGACGCTTCTTCATAAAGCAAAGAAGGAACTGCGAAATTGATCTCTTCATAATGCAAGCGGATGGGAAGAAGATAGTTGCCCCAAGCAAGCAGCAAGCGTTGTCCTCCCGTCTGGAGATGGAACTCCTTCAGCCTCTCAGAGTAGCCATTGTAAGTCGTGATCCTGACACGGAGTTGCTGGTTGCGAATCCCGTGGAGTTTTCTGGAAAAGGCCGGCCCCTCGTCTTTCATGACATAACCCTCACTCTCAAGACGCTCAGCGTCGGCATATTTTCGGTACATTCCCTGCTTGCTTAAGCTACATCTTTAATCATAGTTTGTGCCTGTTGTCTGAATTGGGTTCTCAGTACTGGAATATCGGCTGAATTTTCAAACTCTCTTTCTGGCCTGCTCTGTCCATGCACAAATTGGTGACACTACGACTAAGTTGATGTGTGCTGCTTTTTGATGGTGATGCCTATGCTTCTTATGTTGTGTCCAAAACTTTGTTTCTTGTTGCTTCTGTAATGTTAATCTGATCATCATTTTCGTGCAAAGCCTGACTTCTGTCTATCATTTGATGGGAGTTCATGAACTTGCACATCAATTTTGTTCTCTAACTTCTCTTTTTCCCAGGCTGAGATTGGGAGACACATGATTGGAGATCGGGAATGGGAAGTCTACAGAGTTCGTCTCGATGAAGGCGAAGGCTTGTCTATTGCGAGGGAGAAAATCGAGGAGGAAGTGTGGAAGATGTTGATGGGCTGGGACTGAAAACCGATATCTAATTCCATTGATCGCACATGCTTTGCCGATGTGAATTAGGCGAGAACTTAGCTACCATCCACTTCACTCACAGCTTCCTGAAGACTAACTTTGCTTCTGCGGATGGAGATGTTTATAGCAAATGGGATGGGACATGAAATCAAGCTCTCAGCTCTTAGCATACACGCCGCAGAAGCACAGCGAGGCGCTAGTAGTCATGTTGTAGAAATGCTTATGCTTCGCGAGTGACAGGCTGTTATGGCTTATTCTTGGAATGCAGATTTTTTTTGCAGTCCTATTTCAGAGTTGTAAATAGCATCTAGTCGTGTATAGAGTTCAGCTTGTTTATCTTGTGAATTCATGTGTAACCTTAACCGAGGTTTGTTATTGCAGAAAGAATAAAGTCTACAAGGTTTAGCTTCATGGTGCTCTCTCCATAAGCCCTAATAAACGTGCAGATTAATCATAGTGATATCTCAGTTTCATTATCAAGTACAACGCATCACTGTTGAGTGTTCTTATGCTTGCTCGAAGTCTAGTATTCCGGCGAACACTGCTAACAAGATATGATAAATGAGGAAAAAGGTTGGAAATCAGTATTGATGATGTTTTACAAGGCCGTTGGTCCTCTATTCTTGTCTGGAAGTCCATGGAGAAAAGCTTGGCCAAGATGGTCTTACAAACAGGGGTTAAAGAGAAGCTGATGGGAGAGTAAACCAGTCCCCTCATCTAATCTCAAGATTCTAATTTTTTGCATCCTTTATTTTTTTTAATGATTTCTTAGGCTTCGGGACTAAAATGTGTTCTCCTGAGCATATGTTAAAAAGTAGAAAAATGCAGAGTGTGGAAGATTAGGAAGTTGGAGACTATCTACATTTTTACCACAAAATTTGCAAAGAGAACCAGTAAAGACCAATGAAAGATTCTGGCAAAAAAGAAGAAAAATAAAAAAAGAAGCAATTTCCCGATTACATTAGTAAAAGGGTCATGCGGCTTAATTAGTCGAAAAAATTTTAGTTTTTTTTTTCATTTCATTTTTATTTTGATTGAGAGTTACCAGGTGATTAATTGTCTTTTATTTTATTTTTAATATTAGAGGTGGTGAGTAATTTTTTAAGGTACTTTTATTTTAATATCCAATCCCCATGCACCACTCTTGCTATTTTTTTTCGTTGTCAATTTCAAAACTAAGATCTAAAGTTTGGTTCTAATAAGACTTTTTTTGCACCCGAACGATCAAACTCTTGAACATAAGTTGTTTTTCAAATGAATTTAAAAAATGATTATTGCATGGCACTCCCAAATCTTATTGAGATAAAGTATGTGTTGTAGATTCACATCTTAAAATTGATTTTATTTAACTATATACGACAACAATGTACATGTGATATATGATTATGACACATAAGATCTCAGCTGGCGACTTCCAAAGTTTTTTTCGAAGACCATATTAACTTGCATGTGTATTACGTTATAGAATAAAACGAGCCAATTACATCTTAAAAATTTGGTCAAGCAAATTGCTTATGATATGGAATCGCGTATTGAACTGCACTTTAAAAAAATTTGGACATAGATTCGCAGGTCTAGATTGATAAGCTTTTCATGGTGCGATTGAGTCTATTCGCTTCATTAATCAGGATACTTCTCCAATTTTTGACATGACACCGCAAAAAGTTCATCGTATGTGTATTTCCGATGCGATTTAACAGGAAACCTAATTGATCGACCTTCTGTAAATCACGTAATGATGTAAGAGAACAAAATAGGAGCTCGTGACTCTTGAGACTTGAAGACAAGAAAAGTACCGAAAGTGTCATAAATCTGTTATAGTTGTATCAATTCAATGCTATTTTTTCAATTAAACCAATTTAATCATAAACCTTTTCACATTGGTATCAATTGAATCCATTTGGCCAATTTATGCTGGAAACTGCTGACGTGGATGTCACTCGTTCTACGTGGCACGTCTGGTGTGAAGTGGACATTTAAAATAATTGTTTTGAATTTTTTTCTTACTTTTTCGTCCAAGGCCATAGGTCATGGTCTGCAAGGGCTGGCCTTGCTTGAGTGATGGTTGTCCTCGCCACCACAAGCAAAGGTCTCCCTCTTCGCAGTGAGGGCTAGTGCTGATGAGGTCGACCCCCGCCTAGGCGACGTCACCGCTAACTTTGTCACGTTGGATGCCAAACGTCCACGTTAGCAATTTTTGTCCTAAATTGGCCAAATGACCTCAATTGGTATCAATGTGAAAAAATTTAAGATTAAATTGGTCCAATTAGTATCAATAAGTTTAGGATTTTTTTGGTATTTTTCCCACTTGAAGATTTTCTTAACTTGCAATCTATCTAAGACAGTGCAATGCAAGTGTCACGGTCCTGAGGTTTCCCATTAACAAAGGACCGTGTTCGATCTAAGAAGACTGACCAAATCGCCTAGGGTTTCTAGAGTCCTCTAGAATATTCTCAAGGATGGGCGATATGGTAAATGTACTGAGTTCTAGAGCATTCTCGACATAAATGCCAGTAGTTGGTAGATGGAGAAATGCAATCTATTCTGTTAGATCGAAAAGTAATTAACGGTTGTAATGAGATGGACTCTTGTATAAATAGGGTGCTCTCCTCCTTGTTTGTATCTATCCAAACACTTGCGCAATAGAAAGCATTCTTTCCCAGAGTTTCTCTCTCTAAACACTTTCTCTCTCTTTGATCCGGGTGAGTGAGCAATCAATCATAGGGAAAAAGGCTTAACTTAGGACCTTCACCGATCTAAGGAAACCTAAGTTGCCGCACAGGTCTGATTCCAAACAATTGACTTGTGACAAGTGGTATAAGAGCAAGTAGAGGAGAACTGTTTAAGGAGATCGAGGAGCACATCAATTGATCGAGAGAATGTTGAGCCAAGAAGCTGTCCCAACTGTCGTGGATGGTGCCAAAAGGAGGTTGCCCAAGAGAATGAGACTCGCGGAAGACCCAAGAAGAGGGAAAACTCATTGGACGTCATATCCGCCCTTGATGAGAAGCTTACTAGAATGAGGGCCTCCATGATAGAGCTCGTCAACAAACTTGATGAGGTGAAAGGGTGAATCACTGAAGTAGAAGAGATGTTTCGCCTCAAGTTCACGAATGTCATAAATCGAACCACGGCCCCCTTACAACTAAAGGATGAGGCTCTTGAAGCATTGATCGAGACCCTGAAGATGGAAGTCTTGAAGCTTAAAGAGGACAACCCCCACAAAGCTGAGATCAAAGCCTTGAAGGAGGAGGTCCAACAACTCAAGACCGAGCTAGTCCCGTGCAAGACTAGTATAACAATGGTGCTATACTCATTCAACTGGCGCGCAAGCTAGATGTGCCGAAGCCCAATGAGTTGAAGGGCAATTGGTATGCTAAAGAGGTGGACAATTTCTTTTGGAGCATAGAGCAATAGTTTGGCGCCATTGGGATTCAAGTCGAGATGGCCAAGGTAAGAACCGCTTCTACGTTCCTATCGATAATGCAATGCTTTGGTGGTGCAATAGGTGTGACAAGACTAAGCGAGGCGTCGATCCCATCAACACGTGGGATGATTCCATTGAGGAATTTCGAGATTACTTCTTCCCTGAGTTTGCTCAACAAGAGGTTTGTAGGAAGCTCTATCGCCTTGAGCAACGGGGCTCGGTCTGGGAGTATGTGAAGGAGTTCACGTAACTCAAGCTCCAAATTCCCAACCTAGGGAGGAAGAGGCTCTCGAGGCATTCATGGATGGATTGAAGCTACGGGCCCAACTTGAGTTCAAATGAAAAAACATCCGAAGTGTCTCAAAGGTTCATTGTATCCGAGTCTCTCGTCAACTTCACCATAGTCGAGTCCTCCAAGTCCAAAGAGAATGGGTGGACAACGAATTACTGCCACGAGGATGAAGAAGGTGAAATTGTTCGTAGCTGAAAAGACCCGGAGGCGAAGCTACCCCTGGCTGAAAGGATCAACGGGAGAAATCATGAGGAGAAGGGTCATCCAAACCATCCTTCCAAAGGTGGAACCGACCCCAAGGAGACTTCAATAAGGAAAAGTTTGAGAAGCCACCACCATCCCCATGCTTCATTTGCGGAGGTCTCCATTGGACCCAAAAATCCCCAAGAAAAACAAGCTCAACGCCTTGCTCGCCATGGAGGAGGAAGAGCCGAAACAAGGAAGAAGGGAAGTGTGACTCGGAGCCGTAAAGGTTCCCAACTCCATCAATTCCGTAAAAACCCAAGCATCGTCCAAAAAGAAGCCAACAATCTCACTTTTGTCATTGGTGGAAGTTAAGGTATGTAGCACAACACTATATGCCTTGGTTGACACGGGTGCGTCAAATAATTTCTTGTCAAGTGGGCCGACGAAGAGTTTGGGACTTCGCGTGGAGTCAACCAGACATTGGTTCAAGGCAGTCAATTTAGATGACGTACTAGCCATAGGCATTGCTCAGAAAAGTGGAACTTCAAGTCGGTGCATGGAAGGGCGAGCTATCCTTTGAGGTAACTCCGCTCGACGAATATGATCTAATCTTAGGTTTGGAATTCTTTGACAGTGCGAGCGCCATGAATGACTTGGGGACGAAGTCCATTATCATCTCCGACCCACAATGCCCATTGGTGGTACCTACGATTCATGGATTAACAGAGACCAAGAACATCTCCACGATCTGACTCGTGGACGAAGGGTCGAGAGTTGAGGAGCTCACAACCGAGTCAAGCATAAAGCCGCAACCTTTGCAAAAACCGAAGGTAGAGTTGGAATATCCTACACCAACTCAACAAGAAATGCCAATCTATGTACTATTTCCGAAAGCGGAAAACTTGCTGGACAATGTCAAGATAGCCGAACCGAAGAAGGAACTAAATAGCCAACAGGCCGAGAAGCCAAAGACAAAGCGGCATAAACAATGGAAGAATCAGTAACATCCAAAGGAATCAAATAACCAAAGCAAAAGACACCGAGTAGAGAGCACCAAGGACATTGCTCAAATGGGTGGGGGAGAATGCCTTGGTCCCAAGCTTTCTCATGAGCAAAGGACCGTGTTCGATCCAAGAAGATCGACCAAGTTGCCTAAGGCTTCCGAAGTCCTCTATAATATTCTTAGGGACGGGCGATACGGTAAATGTATCGAGTTCTAGAACATTCTCAGCATAAAGTAGTTGGTATAGATGGGGAGATGCAATTTCTTTCGTTAAATCGAAAGGCAATCAATGGTTATAATGAGAAAGACTTTTGTATAAATATTGGTGCCCTCCCCTTCATTTATATCCATCCAAACACTTAAGTAGCAGAAATCATTTTTTCCCAGAGTTTCTCTCTCTAAACACTTTTTCTCTCTTCGATTCAAGTAAGCGAGCGATCGATTTTTGGGAAAAGGCTTAACTTAGACACTCCACCGATTTAAGGAAGCCTAAGTCGCCGCAC